ATATATATATATCTATATATATAATTTCCTTTGCCTAGAAAAAATGCAGGAGTATACATCTCATTAAAAATTGGAACCACTTTTTTTGGGAGCATCTTTTAGTGAGTCAAGCAGAGGGAAGATGAAACTCAATGAGTCTCAAGATAAAATCTGGCACTGCAGTTAGGTTTTTTCCTTCTTTTTCTTTTCAAATTGGTCTTTACACTATTTACTTGAAAAAAATATCACAGTGCAGATGTATGTACCAGCAGCATTTGAGATTTTGGCTGAAACTACTTCTGTTATTTCTATCCTTGACATTTTCTGTAATCTTGCATATAATACTAGTGGATCAATGGCAGAATGCGCAGAATTCTTATGGCATGTCTAAAATCTATGGAATATCTAGATAAGTGTGAAATGCTAGCTAGTGAATTTTGGCAGTTGAAGTCCATATACAGGTAGTCACTGATTTACAGTCACAATTGGGTCCAAAATTTCTGTTGTTAAGCAAGACAGTTGTTAAATAACTTTTGCTACATTATACCTAATGTAGTTTTTGCCCAAAAACAAAAACAAATGCCAAAACGTGGAAAAAATATATATCACTAATTGAAATGGCAATAAATGTGTACCAGTTGCTAAGTAGCCCAACCTCAATGATGTGACCAGGGGGCAGTGGCTGTCAGAACCTCAAAATCACATCATAAGTATCTTGGGGAGGGTGGAGGTTGCCATAACTTTGGACAGCCACCAAGTGAGACCTACCTATATTTAAAAACCTCTTTCTAAATTAAATTTTTAATTTTCCATTAGCGTTGAAAAGCAATAGATAAATTACATGGGATCATTAGGCTAAGCAGTCAATTGCTATACTAAGCACAATATAGCCTTGGGGCTGTAAGCTTTAATCAGAAGTGAAGAAATATTAGCAATTGACTTGAGTTCTAGCAAATACAAAAATCACTTTCTCCAAAACAATACGATAGGTAATAGATATCACAGTGCCAGTCTGATTCCTTGCCCCTAAATTGCTTGACCAAACAACACAAAACCACACAAGTACAAATAATGATAATATTTTTTAAAAAAAACCTGCAAACAAAAACAAAAACCAAACCAAAAGCAAGGAATAGATGTAACAATTTACAAGGAAAAAGGAAGGACAAAATTATGAGATCAATGTATATTTTCCCACAGTGAAGCCTAAGGGACCAATAGATTTCTTCCTATGACTTCTATATCAATATCTGTAGTTTCAGGAGGGAAGCTTATTTTGTATCTTGTTATTTTGTTGGCTTTTTCTCTTAATGGAGCTTTTCCTATTCTGGCTAGGTAGAAAAACATTCTTATGTAGCAAAATCAGAACAAACTCAGACAAGATACTGGTATTCTGCAAAAGCGATCTTGGATATTAATCTTTTGGCGGGGGTTATAAATGCTCACACCAGCGTTGTTCAACACCGTCAGTTGCCAGCTTACACATAGTAAAATCCACCCAAATGCAATTTATCCTTTTATTGGAAAACTACAATTTATTACCAGTCTCACCCAAGACCAAAAGTCACAGAACTAGCAATTCTTCCAAGAATTTTTGTAAATGGAAACCTAGACCTCCCATTGTCCAATTGACTTTCTGCTATATTATACTGCTAGTCAAAATATTAGGAAGATGAAATTAGAGAGATGAAGAAAGAAATCATTTTCAATTGCATGCTATTGTTCCTCTTACCTTAAACAGTTACTTGTTGAGTAAGAGGAAAATGGCATATAAGCACTGTAAATAAGTAATCTGATAGATATGAGTGTAGAAACGACCACTAGAATTAAAATTAACTGCATTGTTAATCTACTGTGTAATAAAAAAAAATGATTCATCTCACCACAATGTGGAAAATTATGACTAGTTGATCTGTGTGACCATATTATTTGTGATCCAGATGTTAACTAATTAGATAACTTTAAGGTTCTGTTTTCCTTTCTTCTTTTTTAAATCATTAAGACTTCAAATATAAAGCTCATTTATTATAAAAAGCCAACTTTTTAACATGATAAAGAAAACTATTTTTGTATACAAGTATGGAATTTTCAGTAGTTATGTAATGTCAGAAACTTTGGCTCAAAGCCACCAGAGAATCTTATTTCAATTTTGAACAAGCCAAAATTTACCAAAACAGTAAGAAATTCTATATATGATCTAGAAACTAAGGAGGTTGCTCAGAACTACTGAGTTAATTCACAACAATTTGTGAATTAACTCAATAGTTATTTCCTCTGCACCCAAAGCTATGCCCAACCATTATTCCTCTTTGATAATACTGGCATTCCTGCTTATATTGGTAGAATCTAGGGTGATGACTTATTTTCCTGCTTATAAAGGAAGAACAAAGTAAAGTGTCTTCCAGTTGGAAACCTGGGTCAAATAGTTGTTCTACATCACCCACACTTGGAGCAGTTGTTTATAGAGGTGTCATCGGTTTCATGGCTGGGTTTATATTAGGTGGATTATGTCCAAGAACAGTAATTGTTTCCATCACTTTGTGGTCCCTAGGTCAAACTTTTACTTCTAGGCACTGGGTTACGAAAAATAATTTAGGAAGTTTTAAAATATAATCCAGATATTTTAAGCATGTTGATATTACATAGTTTGCAGAGATATTTCATTTGTTACACCCTTATCTTTGGTCTTTGTAAAAAGCTAAAGGTCATATTAGATAAGGAATAATGAAAAAAGGGCAGGTAAGAGTTATATTGTGGAGATAAACAGAAAAATGTAATACAAACACTCAGTGAGAAATATGATCGTATCTCAATAGTGGATATTAAAATAAGATAATATAAAATTATTTCACAACTGCGTTAAAGCAACATGTCTCAGTGCTTCTAATGAAGCAATAAGTGCTGAACATGGAAAATATTTTATTTATTTGTAAATCTATATAGACTACTTTAAACTTAGATATGAGTGAGCTTCTTTTTAATTTGCTTATAATGCTATGACTAGTGACCCATTAAATCACAAGCCAATTACAAGCTTGTAGTTCCAACTAATTAGATCCTGGCAATACACATTAGAATGGTAGCGTCAATATCCATCTCATTAGGAGAAGGCAGAAAAATAAATTACATATTTACTTGGTGTGCATCATGTACCTGAAAGTTTATAAAGGAAACTACAACTTATTACAAAAGGACTATTACATGTAAACTGAACCTTTTGCTAAATAAGCAACAGCGTAGAAAGAAAAAGAAATATTATTTTCTTTTTCTGTTAATAATTGTATAGTAAAAAAAATCTACATATAGTTACATCTTGAAGACAATGAATGGAACTTGACTGGGTAACATAAATTACTTCAAAAACAACTCAATGCAGGTCTACACCTCTATGAAAGCTGCACTGCTTACTAAACAATATTAGCAATAGAGGCTAGTAGTTTTCCACGCACTATATTCCTTCTGTTACCTGAATCCATGGCCATCTGTCATTTTCTGCTGCAGTCCAAGCATTTATGAGACCTTTCTTGTTAAGTCGTGCATAGTAGGGATACCATTTCTGGAGCCCAAAAAGAGCCCGGTGGGTAGATGATGCAGTAATCTGTTGGTTAGAAATGATTCCTCCTTCTATTCCCAATGGTCCAGAGCATTCTGTTTAGGAAGTTGGGGAGGGGACATTGAAAAAAAAAGGGGGGGGGGGAAGAAAACAAAATAAGAATTTTCAAAACTGAAGTCGTAGAATCATGGAATAGTTTTGAAGATGGAAGATATAAACAGATCCAACAGGGGGAAAAAATAGTCAAGATAGTGTTTTGAGTGCTATTTTCCAGAATATGAGTAAGCTTGAATTTTCATTGCAAAGCAAACATAACACTAACAAATAAATAGGACAAGAATGGCAAATCCAATCTAAACGTCAGATTGATTCTGTGACTAAGCATAATAATAAGGCCTTCTGATTTACCAATAATTCAAAATTCTGCTTAGAGTTTATACAATATGTTTTGAAAGGTTTCCTGTTATCTTCCATTACAGAAAATACATAGAACGCATACAGAGAATTGTGTTCTAAACTGAATTTTCTTATAAAATCATTTTGTTATATATTTTATTATATAATGTGTGTATTTGTATATGTGTACATTCCTTCAATTTTATTGTATTTTGACCCTGGTTCTCTGAATACTATTCATTAATCAAAACCAGAACACAGTTGGTTAAACTGTTATATTTTGTATTACAAGCTATAGTAATGATGTAGCAAATAACACAATGTAGTCTGCTTTGTACAGTAATTGGGAAATAACTGTAAAAGCAAAACTTTGCAATGCAATTTTGCATGACACAGGTTCTAGAAATAGCTTTTTCAAATTATTCTATACTTACTTTTTCTTATGTTTGCATATATTACAGAGAATATAAGTTCAGACTCAGGGGTGGGCAGGCACTACTGTCGGTTTACTCGTGGACACGCTGCGTGTGTGCGCTTTGTGCGCTTTACACAGTGCAATAAAATTGTTTTGCACATGCACAGAAATGAAAAACAAGATGGCCAATTCGGGAGCATGGCAGGCCTAGGTCACTGCCAGTTCCAGCGACCCAGGTCGCCAAACCACTACTGGTTTGGCTGAACTGGTACGAACAGGTAGGAATCCACCACTGTTCAGATTTCTTTCTATTATTTTTAAGTGTTGGTTAAGACAAAAAACCTTGTAGAAAAATTATTTACTTCCTTTACTAATATAGACTTTTTTTTAGTATTAAATGATTTCTTGCTGAATTTATGGATCACTAGAATTGAAGCTAAGTGTCATCCAAAGGTTGATCAAAGCTGTTAAATCCAGCTTTTCCAAACCAGTGATCAATTAAATTAGCAAATGAGTACTTTATAGTTACATTAGGCATCAGATATTTGAGGGCAATCACATTAAAGATAGATATTTGAGGGCAGATGTTTATATGGATTGTTGGCTGTACATGGTCATTAAATCTAAAATCCAGTTGCAATGAAATATTCAGAAAAAAATCTATAGACCTATTTCAATTGCTTAAGAAAACTGATTTCAGTCTAACAAACATTGCTTAAACTATATCACTTATAGATTAATCCAGTTACAGCACCCTTTGACTTAGTAAACTATATCTACAATATCATACTGCCAAGTATTAGAAGGCATCTACTTAGCATAGAATATGCCTTCTAATACTTATTGATATTGTAAATGATATTGTAAATCCAATTATAATCCTGTAGATCAGTGGGGTCAAACTTGATTTCACTGAGGGCTATATCAGGATTGTGTTTGACCTTGGGGGACCGGAGTGTGCATGGCCACAATGGGTGTGGCGAGCTGAACATCACCTGTGGTGACCTGAGTCCTCGGCCAGCAAAAATGGGCTCCTGAGCTCTTTTTTTGGCTGTGATGGCCTCATGCCAGTGAAAATAGAGCTTGGGAGGGCTGCATGCAGTCCCCCCAACCTCTGTTTTTGCTGGCAGAGGCACTGCAGGCCAGTCCTTCACTGTTTCCAGGGAGGCCCCGCGGGCCTTGAGCTTGACACCAATGCTGTAGATGAATTCACTGAAATCTGACCAGTGACTATTTTTATATTTGTGCAACAAACTATAATTTATTGCAAATAAATATGCACCAAAAGAGGTTCTGAGTGTACTCAGAAAAAGGAGAAACATTTCACTGTCCTTATGATAAACTTATATATGCAATTCAGGAAGCCACAGTGTGAACAGAACATGGCAAAAGACTGATTCCAGGTTAGCAAAGGAGTACAATAAAGTTATATATTCTTCCCTTATTTATTCAACCTATACGATAAATATATATTAAGGGAAATAACTGGATTTGGAAGAAGATAAGTGTGCTTTTAAAGTTTGAGGAAGAAACATCAATAACCTGCAGTATGTTGATGACACTACAGCTGAAAATCCATGTTGATGATACTATCCTGATAGCCGAAAATGCAAAAGATCAGCAAGCCTTAATACCAAAAATCAAAGAGCACAGTGAAAAAATGGGACTACAATTAAAAATAAAGAAGACCAAAATAATAGCAACAGGAAAATAAACAGAATTGGCAATGAAGAATTGGCTGAAGTAGTGGATAGTGTCTGCCTTTTAGCAATCAATAGTAAAGGAAAATCCAGTTAAGAAATACTCTGTAGATTAGCACTTGGTAGACAAGCCATGAAGGCCTCGGAAAAGATATTCAAATGCTGTGGTGTGTGACCTCCAAATATCAGAATCATGCAAACCATGATTTTCCTTATGATACTCTATGGCAGCAAAAATTATATATAGGAAAAGTATTGACTGTTTTGAATTTGGTGTTGGAGAAGATTCCTGAGAAAACCATGAGGAGTCAAGAAAACAAAGTAACAATTCACTGAATAAACCAACTCAGAATTCTCATTTGAGACACAAATGAACAGGAATAAATTAACCTGCTTTGAACATCTCATGCAAATACTTAGCTCTTTGAAGGGCATTGAGATCTTGCCCTTGTCATGGTCAGATCACTTCCTACTGAGGCTCGACTTTCAGAAACCAATCCCCCACTGTAGGGAGGGGGAACCGATTAGGTAGTTCCGCCCCAGGTGCCTGATGGACCCTCTGGGGTTTCAGACGGTGCTTGGTAAGATACCGGACTCCCTTGCCCACAGTCCGGCGGAGTCCTTGGTCGCTGCTTGGAATATAGCGGCGGCGGAGGCTCTAACCCGGATTGCGCCTTTACAGCCTCTCTGCGGCAGTGGATCCAGGAGGGCCCCTTGGTTTATCAAGGAACTCCAGGAGATGAAG